TCAACTTCTGCACCTGCCTTGTGGAGGGGGCACTGACCAAGCCCCCCCCCCTTAGGAGCAAAGTAATGAATGAGAAAACTAAGGCCCAGCAAAGCTAACCCACCCCCTTGGGGATCTTGGTCCAATCCTCTATATGTAAAGTTAAAAAAAAAAAAAAAAAGAGGCCCAGAGAGGGAGAGCAGCGTGCTCAAAGTCACACAGTAGTAACTCAGCGTTCAAGTGGAGACTGGGACCAGATGTCTGTCCTCCTGCCCAGAGCTGTTTCCCCCACAAACACCCTGTCTGAACTGTCCAGGGCCCTGGATGCCAAGGACTGAGTCATGTGGGAATCTGGGGGAGGTATTTTTGAGGGGGTGGCTGCGCCAGGCCCTGCTGTCCTGCACCTTCCCTGCCCTCTCAGAGCCTGCGGGGGCAGCGCTGGCTGGTTCCCACGAATCAACTGGCTCTCCTGCTGTTCCAAAAATAAATATGCCAGAGAAGGGGACACCAACTGAACGAGCAGCCACATCTCCCCCTCCCACCTCCAGCCCCTCCCTCTAGCTGCACACTGAGCCCTGAGGCTCTGCCGATGGGTCCAGCCCCAACCCCTCTCCCTCCCTGAAAAAGCCATCTTCCCTCCTGCTTCTGAAAACGAATTAAGAAATGAAGTCACTGTGCTTCTGATACATTGGCACGACCGCCTAGAGCTGCCGGAGCCGGGTTTTATAAATACCCCCCCAAGCCAGCACACTGTGACCAGCTCCCTCCACGCTTATCCCAGCTAGGGGAGCAGCTGCCTCCTCCTTGCACAGCTCATCCCTCGGAGCGCACATCTTCTGATTCACAGAAAACAGATCAGTTGCCCCAAGCGTAGTGCCCAAAGGCAATTATTGGAAATAATTCAAATGTCAGCAGCAATGGATTCTGCAATAAAATGAATGGTAAATAAAAGACACAACAGAGAGATCCTTGGGGGTTAGGGTTGTTACCAGAGGCAGGAAATGAGGGCCCATCTGTTTTATCAGCGCGGGCTGAGGTACACATGCGCACACGTACACAGTTAGGGCTTGGTAGGCGAGGAATTGCGCTTGTGATCTGGGGTATCTACTATATTTTTCTGAAATATATTTGTATAGGAACTTCAGAGCAATTGAACAGTTACCATCTCTGAGCACCTACCACATGCCAGGGTTGTGCTGAGCACTGCCCCAGAGCCGTGTGCCTAGCACAAGGTGGGTGCTGAAGAAATACTTGTTGGGATGGATGGATGGATGGATGGATGAAAAAGTATTCCTTTTCCTCACAACAACGTAGTCAGAAGTAGTAAACTTATTTTATGGAGAAAAATGAAGCTCAAAGGGGTTATTTGCAAAAGTCATTCATCAGATCAGCCACTGCACCGGCGTGCAAACCCAGGGTCGGGGCTGAAGCACCCGGGACCTCCACCACCAGCTGCAGCTCCTAATCGGGCATTCCGCGCAGGGCAGTGCTCAGTAACTACCAGTGTCAGCTCATGGGATCCTCCGGGAAACTGTAAACCTGGGGGGCGGGGGGGGGGCACAGAAAGGCTAAGCCACTTCCTGCAGGCCCCAGAGCCATAGTAGCAGAGCTGGACTCAAACCTTGGCAGTGTGACACCAGTCAGTGTGCTTTTCCACTCTGTCACCTCTTAGAGGCCCGACACAAATAATCAAATGTGCTGAATGGAGGGAAATGCTGGGGTGAATGAGCAGAGCAGGCTGGGCTGCAGAGGGGCTGGGACATGGCCGACCGCTGGCGGCAGGGTAGGTAGCTGGGAAGAAGGGGCCGGGGCGCTCCCTCGGGGCAGGTCTCTGGCCAACAAGGACCAGACTTCAGAAGGGGCAGTCACCCTCCCTGACAGCCAGCATCTACCTCAGGGTCTGACCCTGGCTGGGCAGTGTGAAGTGCTTAGACTAGAATCAGGATGCCTATGTTCAGTCTGGGCCCTGCCGCCCTCCTCTGGGCCTGTGTATCCACCTGGAAGGTGAGGAGGCAGGGCTGGGTAACTGTGCCTGGGGAGGTGCCCTGCACCCTCCTAAGGAAACCACAAGAAAGGCAGGAGAGGGCACAGGTGCTCCGTGGGGAGGGAAGGAGACAGAGTGCCAGCTGGGACACAGGCAGGGAGGCACATCTCTGCCCACATGGCTCCCTCCGCTGGCAAACTTCCTGGGGCTGCAGCATGCTCCAGAGGCCAGCCTGGTGCTACTAGGGACGAGGCTCAGGCTGGGGCAGTGGCCACAGTGGGGGAGGGGCAGGCGGCAGAGAGCAGAACACCTCAATCAGCAGGTTCCAGGCCCCAGGAATTTGACTGAACCTCGATACCCAGATCAGGGTTGGAATGGTCCCCCAGGCCTATACTCCCCAGCTTCTTGGATTTGAAAGCTCCCCTAAGAAGCAACAACTGGATTTTTGCCCCCGTATAAACCAGATGTAGATGCTAGCACTTTCCACCACTCTTCAAATCCATGAGACATTCCCCAACCAATCTGAGTTCTCCTTTCCAAACATCCCACACACCACTCTTCCATCCCTGCTTCCAAATCCCATGGTCCCCCAAACTCCCAGCCAGCCACCACCTACGGGAAGCCCCCAGGAAGAAGCGCCATCCCTCCATGAGGTTAGGACCAGATTCGTATTCTTCCTCTTCCATTCAGGGGCCTTAGAGGCGGAGAGAGCCTGAGGCGGAGCGTTACAGGAAAAGTCGGCTTTGCCGCATCTCCTGCAGCCTGAGATCTCACCCTCTCAACTGTGCTCCCCGTGAACATGCTCCCTAGGCGGGGCCTCATGCAGAGCAGTGCCCACGGGCATCCAGGGATCTAAGGCAGGGGGCCAGAGTCCAGAATCTAGATGTGAGAAAACCAGGACTCAACCTGGTACACGCAACTTGGTTACGTCCACTCCCTCCCCACAAAAAGGTACACTGGAAAGAATAGCACCAAAGCAATAATATTTGTAATACCAGAGAAATACAAATGAGATGCTTTTGTTTTCTCTTTGCTATTCCCTTCATTTTCTACAACGTGGCTATGTTATTTTATAATGGAAACTAATTGTAATAATGCCATTGTGCATAAAGGAGAGAATTCTTCCCCCCAACAAAGGTGGGGAGGGGCCCACCCTGAAAGACTAAAGTTTGAGCTCAGACCCCACCAATCCCTATGGGGGTCCCCCTCCCATTAGTCTGATTAGTCTGTGCACTCTTTCAACCAGCGTTTTTGTTGCTGCTGTTAATCCTCACCCGAGGATGTTTCCCAGTGATTTTGAGAGAGAGTGGGAGGGAGGGAGGGTGGGGGAGAGAGAGAGAAAGAGAAACACACTGGGAGGAGGGTGTCTAGGGAGGAAAAAGGAGGAACATCTGTAACAAAAACAAATTAATAAAAATTGGAAAAAAAAAAGAAAGAAAGAGAAACATATCAATTGGTTTCTTCTGCACATGCCCCGACTGGGGCCAGGGATTGAACTTGGAACTCAGGTACATGCCCTTGACCGGGAATCAAACCTGCTACCCTTTGGTGTGAGGGACAAAGCTCTAACCACTGGGAACACTGGCCAGGGCCAACCAACTTTTATTAAAATGGCTCAAGCCCTGGCCAGGTGGCTCAGTTGATTGGAGTGTCGTCCCATACAACAAAAGGTTGCGGGTTCGATTCCCAGTCAGGGCACACACCTAGGTTGTGGGTTTGATCCCTGGTCCAGGAGCGTAGGGAGGCACACCTCTCACACTGATGTTTCTCTCTCTCCCTTCCACTCTCTAAAAATCAATGAAAACATAGCCTCAGGTGAAGAGCAAAAAAAATGCCCCAAAACACTGAGGATGGTCACTGCCCCCATTGTACAGACAAGACAGCTAAGGCTTAGTGACGCTAAATGACATCACATACGAGAAAGCAGCTAGAACAGTTCTTCGTGCACAGAAAGGCTAGTTAAGTGACTTTGCTGGAAGTCGTCTTTTTTTTTAAGTCCACTGATTATTCTCCCACTTCCCTAGTGCGGCCTTAGTCACCACTTCAATCGGATGTGTGAATCAGACTCTGATCACCCACGGTCCTTCCAAAGAGGGACGCTGTGGGCAGCGGGGAGGCAACCTGAGGTCCCTGCAGGACGAGGTGGAGGAAACAATTCTGCCTTCTCCACAGGTGCTTCAGGCGGGCTCAGCCCCACTCTGGTCCCAGACTCCCTGACCAGCCAGAATGGCGTGGCCCTCACTTTACCACATGCCAGATGCTGATGGCTCTCCCACCTGTGCACGCACCGGCCCTGCCTGGACTATGCATGGCTCCCAGCGGGTCTCCGCATACATCCTCACCACCCACCCCCAGCCACCAGACCAGCTGCCCCTGCACAACAGCGTGGCGGCTGCTCACCACAGGATGCCTGGCCCGCCTCCCTCTCCAGCCTCACTCACGTCCTCTAGGCATGTACTCGGCCTCTGGAAGCCCTTGTGTCTCAGAGCACACTCTGTCCCGTCCCCCAGTCGTTACTGCTCCCTCCACCCTCTTTCTCAGACCACAACCCCTCCCTCCGCCTGGCTACCTTCTGGGACCAGCTTAGCTAGATGTCTCTTCCTCCAGGTCTTCCGGTCCCCCAGGCTGGGTCCTCCTTTGGGTGCACACTGCCCCCTGTTCTTCTCTTACCCAAGCACTTGTCACTGTGGTGCAAGCACCTGCCATAAGCTCTGGGTTAGCAGGAACCCCTGCCTGTCCACCAGCTTACAGGCAGGCACCCCATAAATCTTCAGCGTGACTATGACTATCCAACTCCCTAGGATCATAAAATAATAGACATTGAGAGCTATGCCTCCAGGCCTGCCTCTGACTTACCTCTGGGTTGAAGCAAGTACCTCGGCTCCTCGGGCCTCCTTACTCACCCATAAGGTGAGGGGCCAAGTCTCCACAGGGACCTGCGGGGTCAGCAGCCCTCCAGGGGGTTCTGATGCTCACACACCAAAGCTCGAGAAGCAGGTGGGTGCTGTAACTGAGGATCCCCTTCCTGCCCCTGCAGGTGGATTTCGAGGATGTGATCGCGGAGCCCGTGGGCACCTACAGCTTCGACGGCGTGTGGAAGGTGAGCTACACCACCTTCACCGTCTCCAAGTACTGGTGCTACCGCCTGCTGTCCACGCTGCTGGGCGTCCCGCTGGCGCTGCTCTGGGGCTTCCTGTTCGCCTGCATCTCCTTCTGCCACATCTGGGCGGTGGTGCCCTGCATTAAGAGCTACCTGATCGAGATCCAGTGCATCAGCCACATCTACTCGCTCTGCATCCGCACCTTCTGCAACCCGCTCTTCGCTGCCCTGGGCCAGATGTGCAGCAGCATCAAGGTGATGCTGCGGAAGGAAGTGTAAAGTGGCTGAAGCCAGGGCCGTGGCCGGGCAGGGGGAGTCAGGCCAGGCTGGCCCCTCGGCACTGCTCCAGGGGGGCCGCTGGCGAGCTCTTCCTCTGTAGGTACTGCTATTTCCCCCCAAGACGGGAACACAGAGTTTAGGGGAACCAGAGGAAAAGAGAGCCCCGCCACAGAAGCACAGTAACCCTCCACTCTGCCCCCGCCCCCCCACAATGCCCCCGTGACCAGGCACGTGGAAAGATCATTTGCTAAGAGGCAGCTACTGCAAGTCTTTGCATTCACCTGTACTGTAACAGCACAAACCGGCACCCCGTTCCCGCCGGAGTCGACCTGTCCACACACGCCACCCAGGAGGCCACCAGGGACTGTCACATTGGGCGGGTGGCTCCAATAAAGGGTTTGGCTGCATTCGCAGAGTGCTGTGTTTTGTGCATGTCCGTGTCGGGGGCGCGTGTCCTGGTCAGCTCCAGAGACACATTTCAGTGCCCTGAGACAGACGTGGGACAAGTTGGTCGGTCCTTCTCTTGGCAAATCCAACAACCAGGTTTCTATTGGTAGCTGGGTATCTGCTCCCCCGTGTTCCTTAGATTATTTCCCACTGACTTCTGTTGCCCTGGGCTGGAAGGGGTGGGGGACCCTCCCTGGCACCACTGAGGTGAGGGCCTGGGTTCAAACCTCTCAGAACCTTCCCTGTGGCTCCCTAGACACCAGGCCCCTGGCACTGTCAGTTGGCACATGGACACCTTCAGCCCTGGGAGATGTGGTGAGGGCATAAGGTTGAATGTGTGGACTCACAATGTAAATAAGAAACAACAGGAAGGGCATGTCTCTCTCTCTCTCTCTCTCTCTCAAACACACACACACACACACACACACACACACACACTCCACCAAAAGAAACCAAAGCCAACCACACGGCAATCATATTCTTGGGGATGCCCTTCCACCTGAGTTATCCAGGACTCAGTCCTCCAAAAAAGAAAGGGATGACTTCTGTCTTAAATTTGTTTGGAAAATGCAATATGTTTATCTTAAAAGATTTTCATAGATGAGCAGAACAGAAACAGCCTCATAGATACAGAGAACTTTTTGTTGCTTGCCAAATGGGAGGGGGCTGGGGGATGGGTGAAAAGGATGAAGGGGTTAAGAAGTACAAACTGGTTGTTAGATTGATGAACCGCAAAGGGAAGAGGGGAGGGAGGGCGGGAAGGGACAAACCAAAGAACTTCTATGCATATGTGCATAACCAGTGGACACCGACAATAGTGTGGGGAAGGCAGGAGGTGGGCAGGATTGGGGAGGAGGGGGTCAGTTGGGGAAAAGGGGGGGGACATCTGTAATACATTCAACAATAAAGATAACTTTAAAAAAGAAAAAGAAGGAAAAAAAGAACAAAAACGCCCCAAAAATAATCATAAAATAAGAAAAGATTTTCATAGCCATGAACACATTAAAGGCTCTGAGAAGTCCTGCGGAAAGGAAATCGGTCAGGCCAGTGTAGCCTCGTCCTATTTGACTTTTTGTGCACTACTCATTTAAGTCTCAGAAAATTAAGGTTCCACAGCACTTCTCAATTTTTCAGAGGCATCACCTCACTGGTGCCTGGCCATGAACCCGAGGGGTCGTGGGGCAGCGAGTGCAGTGGAGTGGACCACACATACCCTGGGAAACAGGGCACGGGCAGCCTCGTTCTGGTCCCGCCCCCCTCCTAGTTGCCTTCTCTGGCCTCCACTTTGTCATCCACAAAATGATCTCTAGTGTCCATTTCAGCTCTAAAATGTTACCCATTTTTGTTTTTTCTGGTATCTTATGGAATCTTCCAACAGGAACAGTTAAGAGGGTTGTGGTGAACATCTGTACACCCAGTACCCAGGCTCCATGACGAACATTCTACTACTCCCATCTCTATCCACCCATCAACCTCATCTTTCTCTATGCATTTTTAAATAAGCTGCAGATATCAGTCTATTTTGCTCTTAAACACTTCATGATCAATCCCTTAGTTTTTTCCAGATGAGAAAGTTACAGCCCAGAGAGGTCAGCAGACTTGCCAAACAGTGCACAGCGAGCGAGCCTGTGCTGTGCTCCCAGCCCCGCCCTTGCTCTACCCTGGGGTTCTGCACCTTCTCCTGCGGCATGAGCCCAGGCTCCTCCTGCTGAAGCTGGCGTTACTGACATCCTCCTCAAAGGGCCTGCCCTTCCCACGCCTCTCGAAATCCTCGGGCCATCAGTTTCAGACTTGGAACCTTGGGTTATGCAGAGATTTCTCATCACCTTGGCATTGCTGAAACTGGACTGGACTACGACTCCAATTTTTCAAGCTTGCTCTCTTTTGCTGGGGGCAGAGTATGGCAGGTGCTCAATTACCTGTGAAGTTCACAGAACTGGAGAAAGGACACTCACTTAGACACACGTATGTCTGAGGAGTTCTGTTCCCCCAGAAATCCCGGTGAGAAGTAGGACACAGAACGGCACCCCACCCCGCAGGCCTATGTAAGTGGCCAGAGGAGGGAGGTGGAGTCCCACCCCCTCTGCATGCCGCGCCCAGGTCAGGAGGTACTCTTGCTTAAAGAGAAGGTTGGGGCCCAGCTCCAGGAATGAACACCATTTGTGACTTCACAGGTGGCTCCTACATCCCACTTGAGGACATACTTGTTAGGTAGGGTCCCTTCCAGGTGACAATCTAGAATCCTATTATCAGACTGAGGCACATGGTGGGTGTGGCTACACCGTACAAGAGGTTTGTTTCTGGGACTTGGAGTGTTTTCTGACAGCATTCTGATTAACGAGAGTGCCTGTGCCCAAGGACAAGGAAACCAGGATCACAGCCCCGCCACCCCACTGTCCCCTTCCACAGCCCAGATGCGCCTCTGTAACCATCGGGCAGGTAAGTCTGCAACCCCATGAGGGAGTTCCCGTCTGTAAGCACCAGATATGGTCACCATTCTTGGGAGGGAGGAAGAGGACAAAACAATGTATGAAAAAAACAAGTTTATTAAGTGCACCTTTTGTCAAGCAGCTAATGAAGCAGACATTTCATTACTGGGCACACCACTCACCATTTGGCACAGTACACGAGGGAACCACAGAAAGTCACCACAGTAGAACAAAATCAAGGAATTCACATTTTGTATGAAGTGATGTTTCACTGCAATTAAATTCGAAATGGTTAAGCACTTTGAAACCAAGATCTTCTTAAAAGGCAGCCCCCTGCAGTCTCAACCCATGGACCCATCCACAAAGGACACCAAATCGTGTCACAGATTTTTTTCAGGGCCGAAGGATACAAGGCTCAGAGTCTTCAAGCACTGACATTTCACTTCTGACCATGAGAGCAATGAAACGTCCCCGGAGGAAATCTGCGCCAGCGTATTTCCACCTCCAGCCCCGCTCGGGTCTGTGCGCCGAGGGCGGGAATGACTGAGCTCCCGGCAGCGTGCCGGACCCACGCTCTTCGCCCAGGCTTTTGCTGGAGAAAGAGTTAAGAGACAGTGAAAAGATCCTCCAGAATGAGCCTGGGACAGGAGGGGCATATGGCCAGGTGTGCTGCTGAAATCAAATGTCACTGATCTGCTACCAGACATAGACGCCTGCGCCACAGCGTGACCCAGGGCACCTCCAGAGCTTTCCCAGCACTAGGAAAGCGCCCCAGTGGTTCTGGTGCCCAAGAACCTTGCAACTGCAGTGTTCTCAGGAAAGCTGCACCCCAGTCAGGAAAATCGACTGAGTCACTGTCTCCTTGATCTCCAGTGGCTTTGCAGGCTGCTAGGATGACAACTTCCCTGGAGATAGCAAAGGCGGGGGCATCCCTGGCTGGTGAACAGAGAGGTTCCAATGCTAACAGACCCCACCATTGCTGCCTGTGCAACCAGAGTGCCTCAGGGTCCTGTACGTGGACACTGGGACACCCCTACCCCACCCCCACCCCACCCCCACCAGCATCCTGTTAGCTTCCCAAAAAGCAAGGACTGGCTGGTGTTGACATCCTAAGAGCACGTCACAGCAACACTGTGCAATGCCTCTGGGTCCAAAGATGACATTTATTGTCTTCAGTCTCAATCAGTACTGCAGATCTTGAAATACACGCTGAGACTTTGAACACTGGCATTTCAGCGCATGCCTCTCATCTCCCCGAACATCTCAGCCCTGCTAGCTCGCCATCCTGTGTGCATGCATGCGTGTGCGTTGTGTGCATACTGCGGTGTGGAGGGAGAAGAGGAAAGTGTGTGTGGAGAGAGGAACCTTTGGGAAATGGTCTTACTGTTAACACAGTGAGTCCAAAAATATGTGTGGAATATTTGAAACGTTTTGAAGTGTCCCAGAGTGGCACTGAGCTGGCCAGTGTCAATCAGAAAACCTCTGATCTATAAAGTATCATGTCCTACTTCAAGGCTGAGAAGACATTTGAGAACATGTCTGCCAGGTAAGTAAAGCCTGTGAGAGCCTCGGTGAAATGCTCTTCTAAATAAAACACAGCACTTGCAGCCACAGGCATCCCCTGTGCCTCGGCTAGAGCAGGGTGGGCCTAGCATCACTGCCGGTCCTTTGGGCCAAACTGGAAACGCCATCTCCTGCAGAAAAACTGAGAAAACCATGGGATTCCCTGGATTGGTGAGTTACTAGGGAAACAAAAGTGGAGGTACAGCCCTGGCTGGTTTTGGCTCAGAGGTTAGAGCGCTGGCCCGTGGACCAGAGAGACCCAGGTCCGCTAAGGGCACGTACCTCGGTTGCAGTTTGTCCCCGGCCCCGGTTGGGGTCACATAGGTGGCAACCACTTGATGTGTCTCTCTCACATCAATGTTTCTGTCTTTCCCCCTCTCTCCCTCTCACTCTACGTGAAGATAAATGTAAAAATGTCCTTGAATGAGGATTAAAAACAAAAAAGTGGACGTACAACATTCCAAGGAATTCATCCTTCAAGCTGCATTCAGCTGGTAAAATGTTTTCATTTATTTCTTCAAGTGTTGACTTCAGTGGCTTTTTAGAATAGTCTCAAAATTGTGTACCACTTGCCACTCATTCCAGAAATTATTCATCACCCAAAAATAGAAACTTTGTATCTATCAGCAGTCTCTCCCATTCAACCCGGTCTCCTGCTCCTGGCCACCTCTATTCCCTAACCCACCTCTATTCCCTAACCCACCTCTATTCCCTAACCCACCTCTATTCCCTAACCCACCTCTATTCCCTAACCCACCTCTATTCCCTAACCCACCTCTATTCCCTAACCCACCTCTTTTCCCTAACCCAACTCTATTCCTTAACCCAACTCTATTCCCTAACCCATCTCTATTCCCTAATCCATCTCTATTCCCTAATCTATCTCTATAGGTCTGCCTCTTCCGGACATCTCGCATAAATGGGAGTCATATGGTAGGTCACTTTTTGCAATGGCTTCTTTCACTTCGTATAACATCAAGGTTCATCCATATTGTAACATGTGCCAGTACTTCATTTCTTTCTATTCTGAGTAACAGGCCATTGTACCAATATATCACAGTTTATTTACCCATTCATCAGTTGATAGATATTTGGGTCATTTCCATTTTGGGACTATTATAAATTATGGCGCTATGAACATTTATGTAAATGTTTTTGTGTGTATGCTTTCATTTCTCTTTTTGGGTAGGTACCTAGGAGTGACATTTCTGGTGTTTTAACTTGTTGAGGAACTGCCAAACTCTTTTCCGAGCGGCTGCCCTATTTTATGTTTTTACCGCAGGCAACACACAAGCGTTCCAACATCTCTGTCCTCGCCGACACCTGTTACAGCCCATCTCAGTGGGTGTGAAGTGGTATTTCACGGTGGTTTTGATTTGCATTTCCCTAATGAGTAATAACACTGAGCGTCTTTTCTGTGCTTACTGGCCAGTTTTCTTATCTTCTTTGGGGAAGATATAAAAATATGTTTATTCAAAATAATATGTCTATTCAGTTGTCTATGCAAATACATATTTTGCCCATTTTTAAAACAGGCTTATTTGTCTTCTTACTGTTAAGTTGTAAGAGTTCTTGATATATTCTGGATACAATATATGACTTGCAGCTATTTGCTTCATGCTGTGAGCTGTCTTTTCCCTTTCTCGATACTGTCCTTTGAAGCATCAATGTTTTGCGCCCTATTTTTATGAGGTCCAGTTTATCTGTTTTTCCTTTCTTTGTGTTTTGCATGTCATATCTAAGAAACCATTGCCTAATCCAAGGTCACAAAGATGTATACTTATATTTTCATCCAAGAGGTTTTTTTTTATCCTCATCCGAGGACATTTTTCCATTTTTTTGTTCAGATAGAGTGGAAGGGAGAGAGAGGAAAGGGGAGAGAGAGAGAGAGACATTGACGTGAAAGGGACACATCAAGTGGCTGCCTCCCGCACCACCCAACCAGGGCCGGGGACAAACTGCAACCAAGGTACATGCCCTTAGTGGGAACTGAACCTGGGTCTCTCCGGACCACAGGCCGATGCTCTAACCGCTGAGCCAAACCAGCCAGGGGCTCATCCAAGAGTTTTGTAGCTTTAGCTCTTGCGTTTAGGTCTTTGATGTATGTGAGTTCATTTTTATACAGAGTGTGAGGTAGGGGTCCAACTGCATTTCCTTGCCTGTGGATAGCCAGCTGTCCCAGCACTATTTGTTGAAAAGACAGGCTATCTTCCCTACTAAATTATCTGGTCACACTTGCCAAGAGTTAATTGGCCATAAATGTTAAGGATGTATCTCTATTCTATTCCATTAGTCAATATGTCTGTCCTTACGCCAGTACCAGACGGCCTTGATTACTGTAGTAAGTTCTGAAACAGGAAGTGTGGGGCCAACTTTGTTCTTCTTTCTCAAGGTTTATGTGGCTGTTCAGGACGCCTGGAATTTTCACACAAATTTGAGGATCAGCTTATCGATTTGTGCAAAAAAGCTAGCTAGGATTTTGAGAACAATTGATTGAAATCTGTAGACCAATCTTGATAGTACTGTTATCTTAATAACAGTTAAGTCTCTGACCCCTGAACATAGGATGTCTCAAAGTTTATTTATGTCTTCTTTAATTTCTTTCAATGATATTTTGTAGTTTTCAGGGTATAAGTCTTATACTTCTTTCATTAAATGTATCCCTATTTTATATTCTTTCTGATTTATTATGTTAAATCATTTCTTAATTTTATCTGCATGTTGTTCATTGCCAGTATAAAGAAATACAACTGATTTCTGTATATTGAACTTGTACTGTGAAATTTTGCTGAACTCATTAGTTTTAGTGGGTATGTGTATGTACACAAATTCCTTAGAATTTTCTACATATAAAATAATGTCATCTACCAAGAGTTTTACTTCATTTCCAATTTGGGTGCCTTCTGCTTCTTTCTTTCCCACTTGCTACTTAAATATTAGATTGTTAAACATTTTCACCCCAAGTTTGAATCGTCTCATAAGGGAATCCCCTGTTCTTAGGGCCATCTGCTGACAAGCTGGTACCCACGTGCTGGGGTGGATCCAGTCAGAGGCAAACACTCTCTGGGGGGAAGATATGAGCACCACCGCCCCGTTTGAGGTCCCCTTCCTACAAGCTCAGGGCACTAGGCTTCCACACACAGTTGGTCTCCAATCCCATAAGTACTTTTCACAAGATCGCAAAATAAAGGAGAAAAAAAAGATACTGGAGTGAAATTACAGGTCCAGGAAACATAAACAACCCATCCAGTAGAAAGAGCAGCAGTGGGGTCAGGGTAGCAGATGTACCTGTGGGAGCCCAGGGCAGATCCAAGGACAGTCTGGTGGCTGAGTCACTCCATCCTCTTCCCCACGGAGGCCACTCCCACACCGTGTCAGAAGCCCCCACCCTGTGCAAGCTGACCCAAGGTGTGGAGGCGTACAAACTGAAAGGTACCTTATACACATACGTTCACAGCCACCAAGGGGCAGACTGTCCATGTCACACCACCTGCGGCCCCAGACTGGTCACAGGGAGGACAGCTGGGAGGAACTCCTCTGGCTGGAGCTGTGGTGGCTCAGGACAAAGGTGGATGAGTTGCTCTTTTTGCTCACACTTGTCTCTCCCGCCCGGGGGCCCCTTAGGTAGCTGGAGGAGCAGCAGAGGAGGCGCTGCATGAGCTCGTGGAAGAGGTGGCCTGTGAAGAGCATGTAGATCCAGGGGTTGCAGCAGCTGTTGAGGCTGGCCAGGAGCATGGCGATGATGAAGGCTGAGGCTGCAGGGGTGGGGGTGCGGGGAGAAAGGAGAATAAGGCATCAGGGCTGGAGTGTTCACCACCATTTCCCGACAGCAGCCTTCTTCCGGCAGGAGCTGGGCCATAGACGGAGCACCAGAGAGACAAAGTCTGTCTTCCTTCCACATCCTTGCTCTGACTGTGCACCCAGCTTGCCCACAAGCCCTCCTAGGCTCAGCCAGCCCTGGAAGGCTCCCTGTTCCCTCCGTCATCAAGCACTTCCCCACTGCGTGCTTCCACCAGGGGGCGCTGTCCTCCCCATGGCCACCCGGTCCTCACCACTCACCCAGAAGTGTGAGTGCCTACTGCTCAGAGCCGAGAGCAGAGTCCAGAGCAGCAAGACCTCATCTGTGCTCTAGCCCATCAGGGACGGAATATTTTAACTCCCCCAAACTTCTATTGCCTAATCTCTAAACGGGGACAAGTGTACGCAAACCTCACGGGAATGCTGCAAGGATTCGAGAGTGCCTGGAACACAGGAGGTGCCCAATACGTGCTGGCCGCCATCACAACCATGTGGCAGGCGTCAGACTAGGCACTGGGAACACACAAATAAAATGAGTAGCGCCATGAGGTGGGCATGACCTGGTGCAGGTGTGCACGCCGAGGAGGGGTGCAACTCTCTAAGAACGAATCCCGGCCGGCCCACAGGAGCATGAGACCCTGGAACCCCTCACTGTCATCTTGTTCCCCAAATACCATCTGTGTTGTAAATTTATCCTGTACACACCTATGTAAAAGATGTAGCCCTGGACAATGTTGCTCAGTGGTTACAGCACTGGCCCACACTCCAAAGGGTCTCAGGTTCGATTCAAGGTCAAGGGCACGTACCTGGGTTGTAGGTTCAATCCCCGGCCCCAGTCGGGGCACGTGCAGGAGGCAACCAATGGATGTGTGTCTCTCACATGGATGTCTCTCTCCCTCCCTTCTGTTCTAAAAATCAATGGGAAAATATCCTCAGGTGAGGATTACAAACAAGAAAAGTATGTGTCTCTCCATTTTGCTTTTTATCCAATCCCAGAGAATTCCCTGCTTTACTTCCTCTCAGCCCCTTAATCTCCCACCAATGGGTTTCATGTAACCCCCCTTTCATCTCCTGCTTTGAGTCTGATGTATAAAATCAACTGCAAAAGTGCCATTTTTCCAGAGCATTTTCTCAATCCGTTGAGATTTTGCTTCCAAGCAACTGTATGTAGTCAGTTTGGCTCAAATAAACTCATAAAAATTCTCTACAGGTTTGGATGTTTCTCACGTCGACACCACTGACGCAGAGAGAGCGGCACAGTTTGTCTGCAGAGTGTCCCAGCACCACCGGAAGGAGGGTTGTTGCTTGTGAGGCAAATGCAGTGGTTCTCAAAGTGGGGTCCCCAGATCACCCAGGAACTGGTTTGAAAAGCTGGTTTTCAGGCCCCACCCTAAAACTACTGAGTCAGACTCCTGGGGGCAGGGTTGAGTTGATTTCTTATAAATAGCCCTCCAGGGGGAATCTGACGCACACCCAACTTTGAGAACCACTGCTCTAATTACTTGGTGTACCTGGAACCAAAACAAGCCACAGCAGCCCAAAAAGATTTTTAAATCTTGCAAAAGAGAAAGTTTAGAAAGCAAAAGAGGGAAGTCTAATCCTTATACTAAAATAATTAGAGAGAGAGAGAGAGAGAGAGAGAGAGAGAGGAAAAGCCAATAATCCTGAATTCTTCAATTTCTATAAAAGAGAATGAAACAATATTTGCTCTGATTTAAATGGGAAAGGAGTTGAATTTAAGTTTAGAAATTCTGGTGAAATATCACCACCAAGACTAAGACTAGGATGTATTCAACATCATAATTAAATATATAAAATGAACAAGGCAAAATCAAGACATGAAAGTCAAAATGTTAAAAGCCATCGAAAACTAAACTATCAGATACCGGGGAAGAATGCAGGTGTGTGAGGCTATGAAATGGGACAGACTGAAGTCCAGGCCTGGACGGGACGGCAGGTGTTTCACCCAGCTGTGTAGTTAATGGCATAACCTTAGCTGTTCATTTAAGCTACTTGCCTCACTCTTTACATTTGGGTCTTTTAAATGTACTTATCCTATTAAAAATGAACGTACATAAACAACACCAGAAAAGTAAACAGTTAATGAATTCCCAAGTGGCTGGCCAGCCTGGGTGGGAGGAGCTGGGGCCATAGCCAGCACCTCTGCCCCCACCTGGTGGCCACAGACTCGAATAACCTGCCTGGCCTGTCTGCTAGGGGACAGATGACCCTCTCTCTCTCTCTCTTTTTTTTTTATCCTCACCTGAGGACATTTTTTGCATTTATCTTCAGATAGAGTGGGATGGAGAGAGGAGTGAAGAGAGAGAGAAACATTGATGTGAGAGAGACACATCGACTGGCTCCCACCCACACGACCCCAACCAGGGCCGGGGCCAAACTGCAACGGAGGTACGTGCCCTTAGCGGGAACCGAACCCGGGACTCTCTGGTCTGCAGGCCGACGCTCTAACCACTGAGCCAAACTGGCCAGGACAGATAACCCTCTCTTAAGCTGAACCTGCTCACATCAAATTACCAATGCTAGGACACATTTGGACTTTTTAAATTTGACAAAGATCCTAATGAGCCAAGACATGAGCCTTCAGTGGTGGAATTTCAAGCCATCAGCAGGAACGAGAGCTATTTGAGAATAAAAACAGGGACTATGGAAGACATTTCAAAGGAAAAAGCATCAGGAGTAAATGACACATAAGTGAGAATGTCCAAGGGCATTTGGGAGTTGGGGAAGGGAAGTTTCATGGGAGAAGAGACTGGAAAGAGCTGGGGTGAGGAGGACCTTGAATCCAGGCTGAGTATAAACTTCAATCTATAGGCAATGAGGAGCCATTGATGGTTTCCAAGCGGACGAGTGCTCCTCTGTTCTCTGCACTTACTGTATCTTGGTTAGGCTACAACATTGCCCCCTTTCATAGAACTGCAGAGGAGCAGGAACAGAACAGAGCATGGACAATACTGTCCTTGCATTTCACAATGTTTCCAGGGAGCACATGGCGATGCGGCAATGCCGCTCACAGAACTACCACTCAAGCTCACACAGAACAGGATGGTTTTCACATGAGCTTTATCCCCATTTTAAAGATAAGGAAAGTGAAGCTCAGAGAAGGGAAGTGACTTCCCCAAGGACACACAGCAAGTCACTCTATGTTCCAACCTGAACGTAATAAAGTCTGATTCCTCTTAAAACTAGGTCAACATTGCCCTGGCTGGTGTGGCTCTGTGATTAGAGTGTCCTTCTGTGCACCAAAGGGTTGAAGGTTCGATTCCCGATCAAGGGCATATACCTGGGTTGCAGGTTGTATTCCCAGTCCCGGTTGGGGTGCGTGTGGGAGGCAACCAATCCATGTGTCTCTCTGACATAGATGTTTCTCTCTCCCTCTTTCTGTCTCTCTCCCCATCCCTCCCTTCCTTCCACTCTCTCTGAAAATCAATGGAAAAAATATCCTTGGGTGAGGATTAACAACAACAACAAATACTTGCGGATGATTCTGTAAAGAAGTTCTTATTATTCAGGGAGGTTAGGTAATTTGGCCAAGAACACACAGCTGCAGAGTGGCAGAGCCAGGGTTTGTGCCAGGCCTGGTACCTGAAAAGCGAAGTCCTGCTCCTGGTAGTGTGGGGAGAAGTGGGCTGAGCTTGCCCTGTGGGTCTGCCCTCCCCGTCCTGAGCCCTTTTCTGTGCTTTTTAACATCTGTCCCTCCTACAGGCGTCAAGGACTGGCTCACTGTTTCTGTAAAAGACCGAACAGTAAATATTCTAGGCTGGGGGAGTAGCGTGAGGCTCTGTAAGAGCTACTTAGCTTTGCCCTTGTAGCGCAAAAGCTGCCCCTGACAAATGGGAATGAATGGGTGTGACTTTATTTATAAAATCTTGGGATGTCGTTTGCTGGCCCCTGGTCTAGACCCAGAGACACTTCTGCCAGGAAGGATGGTGGTCTGATGAGAGGCAGTGTGTCTCCCCCGCCAAGAACACGAGGATTTTAAAAGACCATCCATCCTTGGGGAGCGGGCAGTGCTTGGCTTCCGAGGGCCTACACCCGCTGTGGGGACAGGAAGCTGCTCTCCAACTCTGTCCCTCCGATCACACCGTGAGGGCAACTGCCCACCCAGCCTGGGTCTTTGCTTCGGGACTGAGAGGGTTTCCACCTGGAAGCAAACGGACATGTGTGAATGATGACCAGTTTGGTTTTTTTAATCTTCACCCAAAGATATTTTCCCACTGACTTTTTTCACTTAGAGTGGGAGGGAAGGAGGGAAGGAGGAGAGAGTGGGGGAGGGAAGGAGAGAGAGAAAAAGATGCGAGAAGACACATCGATTGGATGCCTCCTGTACAATCCTGACCGGGGCTGGGGATCGAACCTGGAACTGAGGTATGTGCCCTTAACTTGGGACTCGAACCCACAACTCTTTGGTCCACAAGCCAACACTCTAGCCACTGAGCAAAAGTGGCCAGCACTGACCTAGCTTTTGTTTGTTTTTTTTACTGGGAATTGGATCCACGATCCTTTGGTGCGTGGGCCAACGCTCTAACCACTGAACACACCAGCCAGGGCTCATTGCCAAGTTTAATATACAGGATTCCAAGTGCTCTCCATGATTTATGGCACTCAACACCAGCAAATGCTTATTAAAGCTTAGCTACTGTCATTATTACTGCAGTGACGTGCACGTGCTCAGTAAATGTTCCTTTTCTTATCAGTAACAGAGTCAGTGCCAGTACATGTGGAACAGTGGGGGAGGCTGCTCCCTGGGCCGGGCTGGGTCTCAGCCCAGGGTGGGATAAAGGACACAGGACACTCACAAGGACTTTGGGAAAACTGGGGGGAGGGGGGGGGAATCGTGTAAAAGGGCTTAGTGAATGGCAAAGTGTTTCTTCACGTAATTAGCATTATTATTATTCATGGATATGAGATACGATTAACTGCATAATTTTTTAGGCTC